AATGTTTAAGTTAAATGGTTGTGCTTGATCACATGATTCATTTAGCTCGAGTAATTTAACAACTGAAGGCACCCTAATCCAATATCATGTCTAAGCAGTGGCTTTAGTTGGAAGAAGCATTTCCGATCATCATTTTGTTATTATATATGGCCCAATACAAATCTTAGCCCAACCACATTTCAGTGTTTTTCAATTCTTAAGCTGGGGGGGGGGGGGTGGGGGGAGTGTTGAGCGGGAATATCTTACAGAGATTTGAGTAATACGACCTGTATATCTGTATATATTATTATACTCTGTTTTTGGTAACTTAAAATAGTAATTGATATGAGAGTTATTGGTTGCGTTTAGATTAAGTGATCCTTTTGATTGTATATATATTGTAAGGTTTTATCTCAATAAGGCACACAGAAAATTCACCATCGTTGTGCTCATTCTCTCACAAGATTTTGTGCAACCGTATCTTATCTTTTGCTTCTAAAGATTTGAATGTTCATGAAAACTTCCTCAAAAACTATCAAACAAAGGACGTAATCATTGTAAAATATTTTTGTATGAATTGCATATCTGAATTCAAAATAGATTAAATTTTGTTGAGATTCAATTATTTTACATATTGAAATTCAAATCATATTAAATTAAAATTTTCAAATCTAATCACAATTATGTAAGTTATACCTAAAACCTATTAAATTATTTTCGTCTCTTGAATTAATAAAAAATATCAACCAAAATAATTTATAAACTAGATTTTAAACCCGTGCATCCGCACGGAAATTTTTTGTTTTTTTTCTAATATAATTTGTATTTATTTTTTTGTTTAGATATAATTTTTTTTATTATTTATTTATTTTCTTAAATCAAAAATATTCATTTTTCAATTTTTCAAATATGAAAAAATAATAAAAATGAGATGGGGGCACAGTTTATACAAAATCAAAACATAAAAAAAATAAAAATTATTGCATACACTATAATGTGGTTTGAAAAACCAGTTGTACACTCCCTTTGTTGATTAAATTTTTAAAAAACTATAATGCTAAATAATACTGTTAATACGTCTCAAACTTTTAACAAATATTTATATTATACAGTAATATGAACGGAAAAATTAGAATTATGTTTTTATAATAGTTCATTTTGAATTAATATTAATGGACGGGTTAAAATTATATTTTAATCATCATAATTAATTTTAATACTATAAAAATATATCTAAACACAAAAATCAATATTTTCGCTTATTAAAAAATATATTTATATAAATAATTATATGTAAACTCAAAAACAAAAATTATATTACAAAATTCGTTAAACAATAAAAAATATTCCCGTGCGGATGCACGGAGTTAGAATCTAGTCTATTATATTAAAACAAAAGCACTTTTAGTGATTGCTTCCAAACACTCCTAAAGTTTTTTTAAAATATTTTATTTTATATTTATATTTAATTCCGAAAAATTAGGTATTAATTTAGATATTTTTAGATTCTCATAATATCGCAAATAGTTAACGAATATCTTATTTTATTTTATCATAATCAAACAGTCTAAAATATCAAATATTTAAGATAAATAAATATTTATATTTTACAATAATATGATGGAGCTGATTAAGGTTATGTATTATTATACTTCAGGTCCTATACAGGTTAGTTTGTTAAAACATGTAAGATATTAAGATAATTTGAGGTAATTAAATGAACAAGTTAGCCAATTTATAGATATATCTATTTTTATAATAACACAAATGGTACTTGAATATCTTATTATATTTTATCGTAATCAAATCGACCTAAATTCAATATTAATAAATATTTTTATATTATAATAATATGATAGAGCAGGTTATGGTTATGCATTTATAATTACATTCTTATACAAGTTAGTTTTTAAAAACATGTAAAATATTAAAAAATAATATAAGGCAACTAAACGGATAGATTAGCTAATTCATAGATATATTAATTATTTATATGTAAATTCACATAATTAAAATCACATAATTAAATTTACATAATTAAAATCACATAATAACAAAGTTTATAATTAATATTAGATCGAAATATACTTAATTAACTCATATTCTAATTCTACTAATATACAAATCTATATTATTTAAAGTTAAAACATGATAACAAAATGTCCTGCAAAAAATAGCTCGATACCAGGATGATGAAAAACTTAACACATCTCATTCTTATTATTTTCTAATAAGCGAAAATATTGATTTTTGTGTTTAGATATATTTTTATAGTATTAAAATTAATTATGATGATTAAAATATAATTTTAACCCGTCCATTAATATTAATTCAAAATGAACTATTATAAAAACATAATTCTAATTTTTCCGTTTATATTACTGTATAATATAAATATTTGTTAAAAGTTTGAGACGTATTAACAGTATTATTTAGCATTATAGTTTTTTTAAAAATTTAATCAACGAAGGGAGTGTACAACTGGTTTTTCAAACCACATTATAGTGTATGCAATAATTTTTAATTTTTTATGTTTTGATTTTGTATAAAAAATATATTTTTGATATACATGTATAATTCAAAATTAGTGATATTAGTTACCAAAATTTTTTTAACCTAATTTTTTTATATATATTTTTAGTTCTATGAATTTTAAAAAATATATTTTTAATATTTAAATTATACATGTGAATTTTACCTATTATATTATTATTAATTTGTAAATAAATCATAATCGTTAATATATTATATAAACAATATAAATATCATATCATTTACATCATTATAAATATTTTATATTTCTATGATCATTATTTTTCATATGTGAATTTTTTTTTTCAAAAGTTCTAGATATTTTTGATAAAAATATTTAATAGTATAGAAATTATTTAAATTAGAATTTTTAAATAAAATCTAAATTAATATCTGATTTATTAGTTTTAATCAAATCAAATCAAATCTAAATTACCTATATTTAAGGAATTCGAAAAATATTTAAATTAATAATTAATTTTCGAAATTAAATATAAATAATAATAAAAATTATTGTTAAACTCTAAAAAAATTAGGAATGTTTGGAAGCAAGTACTAAATGTGCTTCTGTTTTAATATAATAGATATCTCATCCCGCCTAATGTGATTGTTACTACTTAGTTCATTTTAAAATATGCACTACATATTAGTCATAAGTATGAACGTTAAAATATACTGTTTAAAATCTAGGTTGAGTATTTTCGATAATCCTTTCCATTGCATTTGAGTTGTAATTCCTCGTAATTATTGTTGGTATGGCGGACGCAAGTGTGTCGGTATGGAATTGTATGTCCCTTATTTTTTATTTATTTTTATTGAATAAACCTAAATAAATATGATTTAATATATTATTTTAACACCTTTATAGAAAAAATATCTCTTATTATAAAAGAAATATGGTTTTTTATTGAAAATGCCCTTCCCCATAAAAAAAATTCTAGATCTGCCATGAGAGAGATTATTCCGGTCACGGACTACTGATTTTATTAAAGTAATAACCGATGGCATATGATAATTGATTTCTAATAAAATATATCCACAAATTAAACGGCAATCAGACACATCATTTTTTTTTTTTGGTATTCTTCACATTATTTAACCACAATTGTATCGAAAAATGCCTAAATAATGTGATATTTGATTTGTCTCAACATTTAAAAACATACCACTCTCTTCTCCACTTGTTTCAACTTTGTTCTTCTCCAATGGCTCTCTCCTCTCTAAATTTCTCTGTTTTATTCTTTCTCCTCTTCACTCCTTCCATTTGCTCGTACTCGTCTCTGACTTCTTCAAATCCTAGTCAAATCTCTGCAACAAGTTTCTGCAAGAACACACCACACCCAGACGCTTGTTTCCACTCCTTAAAATTATCCCTCTCCATCAACATAAGCCCCAACATTCTCTCTTTCGTCCTCCAAACCCTCAAAACAGCTATTTCCGAAGCCGGAAAACTCACCGATCTCCTTTCGGGCGCCGGAATGGACAACAAACTCTTCGAGGGCCAGCGTGGCTCACTTCAAGACTGCAAAGATCTTCACTACATCACTTCGTCCTTGTTGAAACGATCACTCTCAAAGATCCAAGACGGTGATAAGGATTCACGAAAGCTAGCAGACGCTAGAGCTTACTTGAGCGCCGCTCTCACCAACAAAAACACTTGCTTCGAAGGTCTTGAATCTGCCTCTGGTCCACTAAAGACGAAGCTCGTGACCTCCTTCACGACCACTTACAAACACGTAAGCAACTCTCTGTCTGCTCTTCCGAAACAGAGAAAAGCCTACGGTAGCAACAAGACTAAAAACCGCCGGTTACTTGGGTTTCCCGACTGGGTCTCTCAAAAAGATCGCCGGTTTTTAGAAGATTCCAGTGACGGGTATGACGAGTATGACCCGAGTGAGATCATCATCGTGGCTGCTGATGGAACAGGGAATTTTACAACTATCAACGACGCCGTAAGCTTTGCTCCGAATATGAGTAACGATAGAATGCTGATATATGTAAGAAAAGGCGAGTATAACGAAAACGTGGAGATTCCGAGCTACAAGCCTAATATTGTTCTGATCGGAGACGGGTCCGATGTTACGTTCGTTACCGGCAACCGGAGCGTTGGAGATGGATGGACCACTTTTCGATCTGCTACTCTAGGTAATAATCATCTATGGTCTTTTTTAAAAGATCTTTATTTGGATAAAACAAAACGTTGTGCTACACTGATTGGGGCATAGTGTAGATTTAGGACCATGGAATTTTTGTTTTCATTTTTTAATCATGTAAGACTGTTGGATTTTTTTTTTTTTTTTAATTAGAAACTACCATTTAAAATCTTATAATCGTCATTTAAGTGAGAAAAAAGTGAACAGAAAAAATAAGTTCTGAAGTAATGCTTTATTTTAGTTTTGTTTTTTTCAGTCATTATGCTAAAGATGTGATTAGTGAAGAGAGCAGCCATTTTGTATTGTGCTTAAAGCCTTATTCATTGCAATCAAAATTTGAAGCCTGTAAAAAAATGGGGCAACTTCAGTTCTTGGCACTAATTCATGCGTTCTCAAACTTGCTTGGTCACAGCCGTTTCAGGGGAAGGATTCTTGGCGAGAGATATAACAGTAATGAACACAGCAGGACCCAAAAAGCATCAAGCTGTTGCATTACGTGTGAATGCGGATTTTGTGGCCTTATACCGATGTGTCGTTGACGGTTACCAAGACACACTTTACACTCACTCGTTCCGACAATTCTACCGTGAATGCGATATATATGGAACCATTGATTATATCTTTGGGAACGCGGCCGTGGTCTTCCAAGGCTGCAACATTGTTTCAAAGTTGCCTATGCCGGGACAATTCTCAGTTATAACAGCACAGTCACGAGATAGTCCGGACGAAGACACCGGGATCTCGATTCAGAACTGCTCCATCCTTGCAACAGAGGATCTATTTAACAGCTCCAATAGAGTTAAAAGCTTTTTGGGACGCCCATGGAGAGAATATTCAAGAACAGTTCTAATGGAGTCATTTATTGATGAGTTTATTGACGGTTTTGGTTGGACCAAATGGAACGGTGGGAACGAAATTGATAGTCTTTATTATGGAGAGTATAATAATAACGGACCGGGTTCTGAAACGGGTAAGCGGGTCAACTGGTCGGGTTACCACATTATGGATTACGAAGATGCGTTTAACTTCACGGCAACGGAGTTTATCATCGGCGATAGTTGGTTGGGCAGTACTTCATTCCCGTATGATAATGGGATTTAACACAATTCTTGTTACAAATTCGTCTTCATATAAAAATCTAATTATTATATAACAAAATAATAGAAATAACTGTGTGTTTTGAGTTATTTCTAAAAGCGGTGTATTAGAGCATCCACAACAGAAGTACTTAGATGATGCTTAGCCCAAAAAATAAATCCAAAATGAAAATAAATTGAAGAATCGCTGCTTAAATAAGACTAATAAGCATCGATGCTTATAAGGCACGTGAGGTTTATTTATTGGACAGATAGAAAAGAAGCGATGTTTATTGGTATTTGTTTTCTCTCTCTTCATTTTCTCTCTTTTCTTTTTCTCTTTCTTCATTTTTTTCTTTTTTTCTTCTTTCTTAAGTTTAATATTATTTTATTGCTAAGCATTCTTAAATCGATGCTAGCATTGCTGATGCTCTTAGTTATGTAGAGTTATTTCTTTAAACTAGGTGGGTAGCCCGCGACTCGTGCGGGTGGAGAGTTTTCTTTAAATTAAAGATGTACTAAATTAGTTCTTATCTTTTGGAACATATACATTTCATATACAATATACCCCAATTATTTTAAAGTTAGTTTTGTTTGTTAATAGATTCGGATCCGGAGAAGCTTTACTCGAGTTACCATATTTTCTATAACATGCAATGTAATATGTATTATCTATTAGTGACTCATTGGATTATTAGTTCGAAGACCTTTTTTTTTTAAAAAGCATTACTGACGCTTTACACTTGAATAATCGGCTGCGTTTCTACTATTTTCTTATAACATGCAAAGCAATATAAGAGGATTGTACTTACAGAAGGAAATTCGATTATTTAAAATAACTGAACAAACCAATTAAAAATCTTAAAAAAAAACATCACTAAATGTCATAACACTTAACGTGTGCTTAGATATATATATCTTTTGAAAGATATCTTTATAAACCACGTTCATTGTCTTCTGTTGTGGGTTTCCTTTCTCATCAGTTATCAAAATACGTAGTCCTTTTCTCGATGTTACCCTAGACACAGCAACATAAAACTGATCATGAGAGAAGACTGGTTTAAGTAAAAATAAACCAACCTTTTGCAAAGTTTGACCTTGACTTTTATTTATCGTCATAGCAAATGCGATTGCAATGGGAAATTGCTTACGACGCATTCTGAAAGGGAACCTTGCTTCTGGTGGGAAAACAAACATCCTAGGAATCAAAACTGTTTTGCCAATTCTATCACCACTTAAATGGCTAGCCTCAATCACATGTTTAGCCAATCTGGTCACCAATAACCTCGTTCCATTGCACAAACCGCCTCTAGGATGAATATTTCTAAGTAGCATGATAGGAGCACCAATCTTCAACTTCAGAAAATGATTTGGCAACTCAGATACTCTAATACTGTTAAGATATTCCTGAGTATAAACCATATCATCATTCTTACTTGTGTCTGAAGTATCAATACTGTCTGAGCTTAAATACTCTTGTGCATCACCTGTATAAAAAGAGCGATTTAATTTACAGCAATATAGTCAGAAAAATTCGAATTCAAGCGTTGTATTAACAGTTACCTGTGAGCTTCGACAACATAAACTCATTTATTACATCAACGTCTTGGTTCCGGGGACTCAATATAGCTCTCTCTTGAAAATTTTTTGCATCTCTTGTGGTTTTATACGATGTGCCATAAATTTCAGAGACAATTTTTTCTAGTGGATTTCCTTCACGGATAATCAATAAATCTGATGGAATATCAATTTCAACTTCTCCTGTATTTGGCTCATTTATCTTCCCATTACCGATATCTAATATCCATTTAGCAAAATCTACCATCTCTTGGTTCTCAATACCTCCCGACACACGAAGAGGCCTCATGTTTGTTGTTAGTTCCATCACCTTGCATTCTAACCATAAAGGAGATGAATTCAGACTTGCCATCACTGTTTCTATCTTACCTCCACCTGGTATGACAGGTAAAATTTGTCTGAAATCCCCACCTAGAACAACGACTTTACCACCAAAAATTTTATCACACCTAAGTATATCTCGCATTGTTCGGTCCAGCGTTTCGAAACAATGTCTACTCATCATTGGAGCTTCGTCCCATATTATAAGGCTAGCTCGTTCAAGTAATTCTGCCTGATGTGATCCTGCACTTATCGAACAGAATGTAGATTCGTTCACCGCCATTGGTATCCCAAACCTAGAATGAGCAGTTCGACCCCCTTGTAATAGCAATGCAGCTATTCCACTCGATGCTACATTTAGAACTATCTGACCTCTAGATCGAATTGCTGCCCCTAAGACATTCCACAAAAACGTCTTACTTGTGCCCCCATAACCATAAACAAAAAACATACCACCTGCATTAGCATTCACAGCATCCATTACGAAATCGTAAATTTGTTTCTGTTCATCTGTTATTGTTGATAGCAACCTCTCATGCTCTTTGGCCAGCTTATCACAGTCATAATTCAACTCATCAAGTATTAGGTGATTTGTATCTGTGTACTCTTCAATATCGTCTGGTTGTGGCATTGACTTCTTAAAATTAGCCAGCGAATTTTCATTTTTGCGCAAGTACTTCTCTATTTCCAATAATCCAAGATTCTTCCTCTGTGCTTCGCTCATTTCAAAACCTGTGTGTTTATTTTTTTTTAAAAAAAAACACTTCGTTAGCATATAATGTTTTCGTGCATGTGGTGGTTACGTATGTTGAAATTACCCAAACTACAGCTACTTTAATATGGAAAAAGTCATCTTGAAGGAATTTCACGATACGTCAATGTCCTTTCCTCGGGACTTTGCTGATTGCATTCCAACCACGCTTCAAATTTGCTTTTCTTAAAAAAAGGGAAATGCACAGCCCTCCATGTTGATTCACTTGCTGATATATGCCTATGTTTAAGGGATAAGTGTTAGCAAATATGTTGTAAATCTAAATCATATATAATATAATGAAAGAGAGTATAATTTTTAACATACCTTGAATTTGATTTGGGTTTCTCATCGTCATCTGAAAACACATTCAAGAATGATATTATAATATGGTAATCTATATCACAAAATAAAACACATACAAGAATGATATTATTTATTGTTTCTCGTGTTTTGTTTTCTCCAATTACCCACTATGACAACACAAAAATTGGATTAAACCCACACGATCACAACCAAATAAAGAAAAACATAGAAATAAATAATGTTACCTGTGAACACCATTGTAGAACTCAACGACCAGCGACGTAAGCAATCCAACTGCAAAACTAACAATATTAAAGAAACAAACACGATCACAACCAAACAAAGGAAAACTAATTAACAATATACAGCGCAAAAAGAAAACAACTAAAGGAAGTAGGACCTTTCAAAAAAGCAAGAAGCAATAAGGGAAGTAAGACCCTTCAAAAAAGTAGTCGAAATAAGCAAGAAGCAATAAGGAAGAAGAAGAGTGAAACCTAATCGTTAATACTCAGGAAAAAAAGTAGGAGGTTGTTGTCAATATATGTGGTATATATAGGCTAATGTAAAACCTAATCCAGTTTCAGAGTCAATTTATAATTTTTTATTAACGTCAATTTATAATTTTTTTTGATAATACGATTGATATTTTAATATATATGATTTTAGATTTTAGATTTAAACAATTTTCTTTTTTTTTAAGAAAATTTAATTAAATTAAAGAAGGGGTAAATGGTAATTAGCCACCCTGAGATTGAATGAGAGAGCTTTAAACGAAATTTTTACTTCGCTTATAATATATATGATATGATGTGTCTTATCCGTCTTCTTGGCTTTATATGAGTCTAAGATCATCTCCATCCATGATCTTGCATGGGGTTCTTAGACCACCTCCAACCATGGTCTATAATGAGAGATTTTAATCTTATGTTCTAATAGGTTTTTGTTTACTTTAATGCATTAGAACCTCTTTTAGATTTTTTCATTGTTTTAGTATCTAATAGTAAAGGAGGCTCTAAAAAGATTTTGCTCGCTCGATCAATTGCTCGATCAATTGCTCGACTTTGCTTTGTTTGCTCGATCATATGTGGATAATCGACTCTGACGTTTGCTTGCTCGATCAATTGCTCGCCGACGCTTGTTTATAGACCAGAAGCTGCTGATTTGTAGAAGTAAAGCCAATCATCAATAAGAAAATTGATCGCCGCCGTTTTGTAGAAGTAAAGCCGCCACCGATTTGTAGAAGTAAAGCCGCCGATTTGCTCGATCAATTGCTCGCCGCCGAGTTGTAGAAGTAAGTCGCTGTCTCGGAAAATTGGAGAGGAGCAGAGGACAATGCCTACGATGAATGGACTGGACTCGCCGCCGGAAATATCGAAGGAGGAGATATCAAGGAAAGCATCGGAGTTATCGGACAAAATGAATTCTCTGATGCAACAACTCTAAAACATGTAGAGGGTTTCAATAAAAAAACAAAATAAAAATAAAAACTCAACGACCAATCACCATTTGACACGTTAGAATCTCTGGTGAGGCTCTGCAGAGCAGTAAATTAGAACCGGTTCTCCTAATATTAGCCATTAAATCTTTTTTTTTTCACCTAAAAGTCAAACTAGAATCCCTCCTCATCCTGCTGTTGGAGGTGTTCTTAGTATTAAAGTGACATTTAAAATAAATTAAAAAAACTTAAAATCTTTAAGAATCGCTGCTTAGAGTTCTAAAATAAGAACCTTTCCTTAAGAGTTTTTAAAGACACTTGTCCTTGTTTTATTGGTTTATGTTTTAAAAGTTTTTTGGGGCCAATGATAGATGGAAATTAGATAAGAGACATAAAATTAGAGAGAGAAAGAGACCGAAAATTTATTATTTTAAAAATCTTAAGAACCCCAATGAGAAAATGAGGGATGAAGATGCTTTTATGCATGCATGTCTTTTGATACGTCACACCCATTAAAAAGAAAAAAGTTGACAAGTTATGTTAATGTCAGTTACATTTATGAATACGGTGAGGTTGGCCTGGGCATTACGGTCCACAATTCGGGTTGGGGTCGACTCCTCCGTTTAGAGATGTCTAGACCCAAATAGGATCCAAGGAAATATTTGGTTAGGGTCTTGTCAGGTTCGGGTCAGTTCTATGATTGAATGAAATTTCAATTCACAAACCGAAGAACCTGAAAAACCCAGAAAATAATAATCTTGATTCGGTTTTCATAAAAAATTACTTGAATAACCAGAAAAACCTATTATCTGAAATAAACCAAGATATCAAACACAATACAAGTTGAAATCCAAATTCTAAGTTCCTGAATGTGACATCCCAAGTTTAAGTTTATGGCCCATTTTTTTTTCCAGCAGCCCAACACTTAAAAACATCTCTCTAATTTTTGGCTTAACTATCCAAGTTCAGCCCAAAAACTATAAGGAAAGTCCTAAGTGTGAGTAAGGATAAATTGGTTATTTTTTCTCTATCCTAGACCTAATGAGCTTGACTTCCTCCCTATATAAAGGCCAGCCACATTCTTTTGAGAGACACAAAGAGTTAATGCAATGAAACTCTATAAAAACCTCTGAGCATCAGTTTAATATTTGTCTGAGTGTGGGTTTTGCTGTGTCATTTGCCAGCAACTCAGATCGAGCTAAGTTCCAATCTTCATACCACTGGAAATATATAGCTGCAAGGAATCCATAGCAATTTTCAGATCCTAGGTAAGCTCCGTTTTTATGTGAGCTGAAAGTTAGCGAAAAATCATTTATTTTGGCAAATTTAATATTTCCAGTTTCGCAGAGCCAACTTGAGAGAGGTTTTGCTATCGATCCAGAAAGACCCAGATAGCGATCCACATACCAATCTGTAGATCTCGGATTCTTATTTCCAGATCAACTTTCAGATTCAGATTCCGAGATAACCTTCAAAGGTTATCGAAGTTCCTTTCCGGCCAAGAAACCTCCCTCTTCTGAAAAAGGAAAACCATTTATGGTGATCCAAATATGGGAAGCCATTTATGATGATCTAATTAAGAAAATTCATTTATGCTGATCCATTTTAGGAAAGTACAATTATGAAAACTTCTATTTTTAGAAAATTTTTATTTTTGAAAAGTTCTTATTTTTGGAAATTTCTGTTTTTGAAAAGTTATATTTCTGGAGACTTTATTTTTATTTCTATTTCTTCCTTTTTTTATTTTTATTTCTAAAGTCACACATCAACTTCAGGATGGGGCACAATATAATTAAGGTTAAGACACGATCCACTGCTTTGAGACGCACCATGTGGGGAGTTGTTTTGAGTATTCATTTAATATTATATTTAATTTATTAATGCGCGTAAGATGTTTAGTACATTGAATGAATGTGTGATGATAGGTGGTACTTGCTTGTTTGTTGCCTAAGTAGTTGATCATGTGCATCATTTATAATTGGTTATTCATTTCTATTTATATTATGAATTAAAAATTAATATGTGAATTTATTAAGATGGAAATAAGTAATATTTAAAAAGTCATAATGTTTACGATGGAAGCTAGTGAGGAATGATAGTAATTCATTAGTGTAGATGGAATGTGACTGTGTGATTGTTTTTGACGGCCTATAACAAGGGACTGAACATTATGAAGTTGTAGTGCTTGAGAAAGGGCTGACGAGCCATAGTTAAACCCTGTTGAGGGTGGTGGCACTGGAAACTTGTCAAGACTGGAATGGGTGGTGGCAGAGAATGAGTATCTGGGACATAAGGGTCTTGGAGAATGTGTTAATGTGAAGAGTCGGTCTTGTTTGAGTTCTGCATGATATTACCCGGCTACGGCCGTCAAGTCCTGTGTGGGTGGTGGCAAAGAATTGTTGTTAAGTCATGTGTGTGTGTTGGCAGAGAATGAGCACCTTGGATGTGGTTCTTCAGGAATGTGAAATGTCAGTTTTTGAGTGAATTAATATAGCATTCAAATTTATTAATCAAAAATATAAAGTTCATTTTTTGGCTAGCATATTACGTTTTTAATAAATAAAATATCGTATTATGAATCTCGTGGGCACTCATGCCGCTGAGTAACTATGTTACTCACCCCTTTTTCCTTCTTTTTCTAGATAAGGTTTAAAGACATTTTGGATTAGAGTGCAAGTCAAGCTATTTGATAGAAGTTTTCCGGGATTAGGGTGTCTCACTCAAAATAGAAAGTATGGCAAAGTACAAGACCCAAACACATAGACTCCACAACAAAATATTCAACATCAAGATCAGTTCCAAATCTAAATCCAAAAAACTGAAAACAAAAGACAAGGAAGAACCTCAATAATCATGAATCTCATTCGGGCTTCCTTGCAAACTCAGTTCCAAGTCTTCTTGCCTGTATACAACAAGACAAACAATATTTACTGACTTACTATCTTTTGACACTTCTACTACGACAAACAATCAAACACAATTCAACCTTTAGTATAGTAAACTATACACCTCTAGTATAATCAACTATACACATCTATTATAAACAACTATACACACCTATAGTATAGTCAACTACAAACTATACACCTACTAGTCAGACAATCAAACACAATGACTAAGAAAAACAATCAAACACAATTCAAACTAATAAAGTAAGTTATTAGAACCAAACAAGTAAATTACGTTTCTAAACAATCAAACACAATTCATAAAAAATTGTGAAGGAAAACAA